AAAAAGTATAAAAGAAAAAAACTTCAGAAAAAAAGCGGGGGTCATGAAGAGATGTAGAAAGATGGTCACTGTACATGTCCATTTGAAATAATTGCATAGGGTTTACAGAATTAGAATTGAAATTTCCATTTTTTATAATGAAGACTAAGGGTTTGATTTTTGATAGCAATCTTATATTCTATATGATATTGATTTAGTAAAAATAGTCTTAACCCAAAAAAGGAAGGCATTTGAATCTGGAATTTAAACCTATATAAATAAACTGATACAGTGGTTGTTAATTAGAAGACACTGCTGTTACATTGCACGCTTAAGCTTTGTGTCGCGCAGTGACATCATCACAGCTCCACCTCCTTCTAACATTGTTTCTCTGGTTTTCTTACTATTCACCTACTTCTAGTTTTTGTTGATTTTCACGTTTGAAGCCCTTCCTGTTCAATTAAATACTGAAGTTGAACACTGAAAATCAAAAATCGTCGAAACGGTTTATCGTCAGATTTTGCGATGCACCTACGGGTAAACACACAAGCCCGTGTGCAGCCCGTATTCAAGTATCTCATTGTTCTCCACACCATAGACATTTGTTTCTGTTTCATTTGTAATTAGTGATTTTAGAAAAGATATCATTAAACTCTCTGGTGATCTTTTTTTATTTGTCACAACCCTAAAATTCTTTTTTGGTTGTTTATTGTTGATAAATTTCTTTGCAGTATGAATTAACAGGACTTAGTGCGAATGGTGACGGTATGGTTGGCTGATGACAATATGATTTGATGACAATAGTGCACCGCACAATTAACCATTATAGACACAACCGAACCAGTCTTGGTGACAGCTTCTAAATGCACCCCAGTGCAGATTACAGCAGATGTATTTAGAACAATATAGAATGATAGAACTCATTGTTGGAGCAAGGGCATTAGCTTGTCATAAACGAGATTGTTATAAAAGATTTAGGGGAATAAACAAAAAAGGAATGCTAGGGATTTCGACTCTTACTCCCTACAGCGGTGTTCTGTTTAACAGTGCTCTGAGTACGAGGGGCATTACTAAGAAAGGTAGAAACCGGTGGTCGCGAGAACGTTGTTACCTTTGATTCTAAGTGGTTATTCATGAGCAACAAAAGGCGTCATTATTAAGTTTGGATATCCCGTCTGCAACCACATGGGCCTGTAGGGGACACCGTGCTAACTCTCGCCATTAGTTTCGTAGAGGGCGGGCGCTATTTTCAGAGACGGGCACTGTTCTGTAGCGCGCAAAATTGGAACTCACTGCTCTATACCTTGGATAGGGGGCTCAGTAGTGACCACGCGGCCGTCTTAGGATATTCAGTAAAATGGTCTCCAACTTTATCCCATTCACTAAGTACATTCATGCGCGGCGCTAAAGCCGGTGACTTGGAAAATTCCTTGTATTGAATAGCCTGCTTCAATTCGCAGAGCCGAGCTGTCTATCCAGTGTATAGAGATCAGTGGTGGCGTTGAACGAACGGTTCGTAATCGTAGTTGAGCAACGAGGGATTGGACCATGGTCTAATTAATCAACCACTTGGAACCATGCCTTGAGACCCAACCGATTGAGCCATTCACATGGAAATTACTGTAAGAGATATTGACCATGAACGCTGCTGCGGAGAGTTGCAACCAACGGGAAACTGTAAGTGACATTGTTTTTTTCGACCATTTTCTTCCTCCATGATTCGACTAGGGTCGCTGTATCGTATTGCGCATGCACATCAAAAGCCATCAACCCTGTTCGCTAGTCTCGTCTCCCACCGCCCGAACAGGGCGCTGGGGAGGGAAGGGCTAATGGCTTTGCACTGCGATGGCTACATTGTGCACGACCCGTTACCACGAGGTAATCTCTTCCTCTTAGCAAAGCGTTATTTAAATGTTTTGGTTCGCCAGTGGCAGTGATTTGACACAGTCAGCTATAGGCCTATGATAAAAGCCAGGCCTTAGTACAATCACAGCTGGGTAATTTATCTTCTCGCTAAGTATCACAGATCACGTGTCTTTTGTCTGTATTGTTTCAAATTATTGTTTACCTTGATCACTTTCGGAGGAACGAATAATATCTAAGTTGCTGCCGACTTAAGCGTAAATCTGCTCAGCTCTAATCACAGCAGCCAAGCTCAAGAATTTCTGGATGCAATATATATATATTCTTCCTCTTGCATAGGCCTGCCTTTAATCAACAACCTACTTGTATCACCAACACTTCAGCCACTTTAATAGACAATATTCTATCAAGTATATTACCATCCCCCCAAATCAGCAATTGTACTACAATTATCTGATCATTTTCCCATATTCACGTCTTTTACATTTGCCCAAAACACGACAACCCCTAGTAATAAATTTATCAGAGAATGCTCTCTGACAATCTTTTGAATTTAAAGGAAGGACTAGGTTCTAGTTGGAGCTCCGTATTTGATACGCAGGATGCTAACTTTGCCTTCATTAACTTCATAGTTTTAATTCGAATTCTAATAAATGTATTCCATTAAAAGTAAAAAATTGAATCAACGCAAACTATACCCCTAAACTACCCTGGTCACTGTCAGGAGATGTAAATCCATCTCTTACGGAAATAGGCTGACCATAGATATACCTTTAACCACACCACCCGAAACATACGTTATAAAAATATTTTGCCGGTGCTTTGTAATGCAAAGCGAAGTTATTACGTTAACCAATTTAATTTAAAAAAACAAGGGTTATATTAAAAACACTTGGGAAAATATTAATAACTATCTTAAAACCATTGTTACTATTGTAACATCTCATTTGGTGTACCTCAAAGGTCCATACGAGGGCCCCTACTATTTAGTGTGTAGATGATCTTGAAAAATCCTTCGATGTACTTTCGTTCATTCTCTTTGCCGACGAGCGCAGGCTGTTTTGCAGTCACACTGACCCAAATACACTTTCTGATGTTGTCAACTATGAACCCTGCAAAGTGTCAACCTGGATCAAAGCAAACTCTTAATTGAAAGAAAACTTACTTTATGACATTTTATTTAAAGAAGCACCTATTAAATTCGGATATCCTTACTGACAATACTAAAATCAGCCAGGCTGACTGTGTTAAATTCCTGGGACTTAACATCCATGATAACCTTTCCTGGAAAACAACATATGTTCCGTTGTATCAAGAAATATTGAAACGATTTATAAGTTGAGACATTCTCTTCCAGCTGATATTTTAAGGACTTTATGTAGCACCTGATTAATGTTACCATACTGAACATATGGAAAACTTGCATGGGGCCAATGTGGAACTTGCATGGGGCCAATGTGGAACTTGCATGGGGCCAATGTGGAACCGGCCAGATAAATAGAGTACTTAAAAAAGGTTTGGCGAATAGTTTTGTGAACATTGTGATCCTTCTTTTTTTTTGAAAATTGGTGATATTTGCTTATTCCAACTAGCTACATTCGTGCATCAACTTAAAATGTGTAACTCCAAACTCCCGAAATCTAGGCCTATCTGCTCAATGTTCACAAAAATGTAATTATCTATTACGACTTTACTAGACCGTAACACTACGTTTCTTCACGTACTAACCTTGCTAGTAATTCAGTTAGGCATGAAGGCCCTAAATTATGGAATTCACTGGATCTTTGGTAAAAATATTCGCATTCAAACACAAATATAAAAATCACTTGCGGATTAATTTTTAATAAATCCTTTATTCACGGGTTTTACTGGTTATGTTTTGTCCCTTGTAATTTCTGTTATGTTCACATGTAGGGCCTGTATGTTTGTACAAGTGTGTGCAGGCTTGGCATATAAAGTGTGGACCTCTGCACAAAAGAAGTCTACATAATATAGGGTGTGATTTAGTAGGTGTGTGTGTTTGGGTGTGTAGCAGGGGGCCACTACTTGACAAGCTTTGCTTTTTATAGGCCCCCATCCACATTTATTGCTGTAAATCTGTGATATTAACTGTATTGGTATGTGGAAAAAGAACAAGATTGATTGATAGTGTAGTGAGAATATTTTCAGCTAATGAAGAAGAAGAAGGAATTGAAGGAAGTATCGAATTGATAACCTTCGCTTGTGTAACGCATTCGGTGAGCTTGTGCGCAAGGCAGAAATTTGCCCACAATGCTGTAGCTGCTCGTCGTTAGCTGTGATCCCGTGTGACGTGTGCATTTCCTTGGCTAAAATCTGTACCAGGCCATCAACCCTTCCCAACGCCCTGTTCGGGCGCTGGATGACGAGCGAATTAACCCTGCCACTCTGTTCAAGTGGAAATTTTTCCACCTGGTACCCACGTAAACCAATTCTGACCAATTGAAAAGGTTGCCTGGGAATTGTTCAATTTCAGCTGTAGGATAAGGTAGTGTTGTAAGAAAGCATGTTACACAGGGGTATTGGGTCTGTAACTATTCGTGCAGAACTTGGCCAATTCCACTGCGAGTGAGAAAAGCAACCACTTCCAATTCAAGAGGCATAAATTTCGTGCATATTGACCGACTGATGTTGACAAGTTGAGCTAAGTAGGCCAGGAACTTCGTTCTTGAAAGGGCAAGGCAGTTTCTCATCTGCAAAGGGTACTTGTATCATTAGAAATTTAACTTGTCTCTACATGCGCATTTCAATGGGTATTGAGGCCAAGACCAGGGGCACCAAGGCAATTGCCTCTGATGCCTCCTTGAAGTTGCTGCCCTGGCCAATCCGTTATTGTCCTCCAACTAGCATGTCTATTGTATTGACAACAAGATTGACATGGCTGAGACAAGTTGTATTTGGTGGAGACAACCTTCCAGGAAAAAAATCGATTCATTTCGCTCCTTGAAAAACTCTGTACTTGTGTTGCATTGTATTTTTATTCATCTTTTTGGCGTCGGAAAAGAATTCTTGCTTTGGCTTGGCCGAGTTATTGCTATTTAGTATTTTCCCACTGTACATACTGGTTAACATGAAATAAATTTCTCAGGAAAAATGGGTGGCTCGTGTAATAAATACTACGATTTTGAAATCAATATTTTTCACCTAACAGGGGTGTAATTACCGTTTGATGTGCGGGTACAATGCATACTTCCGTCTCGGGAATTTAAAGTTAGGTCTATAGTCGTATACGTTGACTTTTTAAAGTTCATTTTAAAACATACAAGGTTAACGAATACGAGTAGGAATATGCACAGAAGAAATGCTACAAACCATTGATTTAGATTTGTATACATACATTTGCACATAGGGCTTTTCGTTTTGTTTAAGCTGAAAACTATTGCGTGTACTCGGTATATTTAAAAGGAAGCTGGCTTTGTTCCTGATAGAAATGAACTTTGGAAACGTGAAGCCTAAATGATATTGAGTCGCTGGACTGTGTACGTGACTTGAGGTGGTCGAGGAAGTAGCACAAAGGTTTCGTGAAAAATAACGGGAACCTCTGTCACTTGAAAAAATCTGTGTGTTAGAATTTGCGAATCCTGCGAGTCGATGATTGAGTAATTCGGGTTTTCCGACACCACGGAGTTCGTCATATTTACTGAGCATCATTGGTACCAAATGTGCTTTCAGGGGGACAGGGAGACTTCTATCACCTGATAAATAAAGTTTTGTCATCCAGATTGGACACCTTGCAGTGTGGGAGATTCAAATTTCCACTGTGTCTTTGATCAGACGAGTTTGTCAACATATCAAATCAGCTTGACTTCCGCCCATAGCACACTATGATCAGCCATTGCATGTTTGAGGTGACTCGAGCAAAGAGATGGGCGGCCCAGGCTTCTCGTCGACTCGACTACGAATTTTCAGTGATCGGTTCAACCGAAAGCTGGTAAGGATTGCGTGTCTCAGTTTCTGCCTTACTGTCATCCAGATTGGACACCTTGCAGTGTGGGAGATTCAAATTTCCACTGTGTCTTTGATCAGACGAGTTTGTCAACATATCAAATCAGCTTGACTTCCGCCCAAAGGATCCTGTTTGGATAGTAGCTAAGGTTCAGAAAAAATATAGCTGTGCTTCTGATTACAATTTTTTGGAGTCCGTTTTTTATGCTGATTGAATGGGGACAAAAGCTACCAAAATTGCCACAAAAATGATAAAAACTTGCCTTACTCAGTGTAAAAATATAAACAGTGGAGAATCCTTCAGAATTGTGGACAGTTCACATCACTAAACACAACGCTAGTCAGGTAATCACGACGGGAAACTGGCAAACAGTGTCCGTGTATTGCGTGGTAAGTGTGCGTGATGCATCTTGAAGGGTGGGCGATAAAACTCGTGCTGCGGCAGCAAATTTTGTGGAAACACGCTTGCTTCAAGTAGGCCCTACGAGCATGGTACGAGCAATACAACCTCAAATCAAAGTCATGAGCACAGAAAATACATACCCAGACAAGAGATCAAGTTCTGTGGATTAATTAATTTGCAGAAATCTTCTTGCAACATCGATTTTTTTTCCCGACCTGCAGTTGGGTGGGTGCACGGTGTCGTGCAACGATGCTACATTGGCTGGGATGCATAGACTGCATGGTTGCTGCTTTTCCACGATGCCTTCTTTGGTAATGGCGCTGCGCGGCGGGAACCAGTGGAGCATTGCTTCAATTAATGCATTAAGCATCACGCACGTGATAGCAAGACGCAAAGGGAACTTGTGATATATAACAGTGGACGCTTCTTTTAAAAGTTGCGAATGTTAGTAGAAAAACATAAATACAAGCCTTTAATGTGAAAAATGTAGTTGAAAGGTGTTTTGTGGAGACAGAAAAGACAACAGGATTTTGTTTAATGTTTAATTCTAATTATTTTCTTCTTTGTTTGCAACCTGCCGGTAAATATTTTAGGGTCGCACCGAAAAATTGGGGTCGATCGGGAAACCGGAAGCAGAACAATGTTGGGGGCCCAACATCTGTTTACAATGGGTACACGAGGTGAGTTAGAAACTTGAGTTGGTTGAGTTGACTCGGGGATTTGATCACTGACTCTTTATGCAATGAACGAATTGGTGTGTGCCAATGAGATATCACGTGATTTAGTAAAAACATGTCCAGCCAATATCCACCAATAAGACTTAAACAATTTGACGTGAGTGGTTGATGCATGGGAGTGACAACGTGCAGGGGCATATCGTTGGCCAAGTTCACCAGTCACTGTCCAGGAAATGGTTGGCCACTTTAAAGGCACGAACGGCCGCCCAACTGCTCAGAACGACCAGCGCTTACCTTCAGCCAGCAACACACTGGAAGAGAAGATTGTAAGCAAGAGATTACCAGGTGAGTGTTGAACACATCGGTATTTTTGGAATAAACCTTTTCATGTTTATATGCACCATCTTGGAATTGTGATTTCAATTAAGGTTCCGTCGCTTTGCTCCTATGTTCCAAAAGTTGGAGGTACATCTTCGGGGCAAATTCTGTGGTTGTTTGAATGAGCGAACGATTTAGATTATCGCCGGGAACGAATGCGCGCCAGCCGGGACGTGTTTGTGGAAAAACTCTACAATGATCAGGCGATATGGCCTTCCGATTGAATGGCACAGAATTCTGTTACACGTCATCTGGAATTCTGTTTGGGTGTGTGTACATGTCATCGTCTGTGAGAGGTAACTCCAGTGTTAAATGAAAAAGGTCAAACAAGACGACACAAACGCTGTGCTTGTCGAGACAAAAACTGAACTGTTTTGGAAATGTTATTTCTCAGTCTTTCAACTTGGGGTGTATGGAAATTTTAACAATGGTATTTTTGTGTTTGTTCTCGTGAAGACATCGTTTAACGGAACACACAATAATTTTAAGTGGTATCTTCTGACAAATGGCTTAGGAATCATGACATCAAAATAATGTTTTATTTGAAACATGTTTGGCTTTGCATCTGCTTGAAACAAGCCACACGGAACATTTTAAAAAGTCATAGTAGCATTATGATCCATGACTGCTGATATCAAACGAGTTTGAGAGCGCTGAATAATTATCTCCAACCACTGTGCTTTCCGTTTCCTCCATTTCAAAGTGTGGAAGCCGATTTGAAGTCCAGATAAAGCAGCGCGACGTCTACTTCGAGATTCCGTCTTAGACCCGGACGTGAAGAAGACTCTTCAAGGTGACAGCCCTTTCTTTTCTTTTCTTTTCTTTTTTTTTTACCAAATTTCGGCTCACTCAAGGTTTGGGACGCCCGGTACTTCAACTTGCACCAAAATGTATACTTAACTTGATCTGTATTCCTGACCACATCTCTACATATACTCTCCAGATTTACTTCCATAAAACACCAGTTTTGTTTTACTCATTTTCAGGTAGGATCAAGCTTACATACTTGCACAGGGACGTGTAGGATAAACACTTTTGTCAGGAAATGTTACAATCTTGCATGACACTTGGTGCTGTTTTTTGCAAATCGTGCATTTGGATGAACACAGTATAAGCCCTAATAGTAAAGGAAATGAGTCGTCTTGGATTCGAGTCCTGTTTCAGAAATCTTTTATTTTCTCCACAAGCTTTCAATGAGAATTTCCTGAAAATATTATTTCTCCTTCCCAATGCTTGAAAATACGAGAGCAAAATTCATCAGTTAACCTTAATAGTCTTGGCCCAAGGCGTCAGTGATCGATAGCTATGGTTGCAATTATTTGCACAATTTGGGGGGTGGCTCCCCCCCCCCCTCTCTCTCTCTCTCTCTCTCTCTCTCTCTCTCTCTCTCTCTC